AGACAGCACACTCACACACACTCACACAGAGACAGCACACGCACAAACTTCACACAGAGACAGCACACACACACACTCACTCACACTCACACACACACACATCTGTCCGAGCACCCCCACCCGCGGCCGGAAAGTTCAACTTTCCCGCTACACTGCCTTTTTCTTTTTCTTTTTTTTTTTTAACCACACTGCATGGCTGGGGGGCCCCCTGCAGGGGTGGCGGGGTCACACACACACTCACACACACTCACACAGAGACAGCACACTCACACACGCACACACACTCACACAGAGCCAGCACCCACACACACTCACTCACACTCACACACACAGAGAGACAGCACACACACACTCACTCACACTCACACACACAGAGAGACAGCACACACACACTCACTCACACTCACACACACAGAGAGACAGCACACACACACTCACTCACACTCACACACACAGAGAGACAGCACACACACACTCACTCACACTCACACACACAGAGAGACAGCACACACACACTCACTCACACTCACACACACAGAGAGACAGCACACACACACTCACTCACACTCACACACACAGAGAGACAGCACACACACACTCACTCACACTCACACACACAGAGAGACAGCACACACACACTCACTCACACTCACACACACAGAGAGACAGCACACACACACTCACTCACACTCACACACACAGAGAGACAGCACACACACACTCACTCACACTCACACACACAGAGAGACAGCACACACACACTCACTCACACTCACACACACAGAGAGACAGCACACACACACTCACTCACACTCACACACACAGAGAGACAGCACACACACACTCACTCACACTCACACACACAGAGAGACAGCACACACACACTCACTCACACTCACACACACAGAGAGACAGCACACACACACTCACTCACACTCACACACACAGAGAGACAGCACACACACACTCACTCACACTCACACACACAGAGAGACAGCACACACACACTCACTCACACTCACACACACAGAGAGACAGCACACACACACTCACTCACACTCACACACACAGAGAGACAGCACACACACACTCACTCACACTCACACACACAGAGAGACAGCACACACACACTCACTCACACTCACACACACAGAGAGACAGCACACACACACTCACTCACACTCACACACACAGAGAGACAGCACACACACACTCACTCACACTCACACACACAGAGAGACAGCACACACACACTCACTCACACTCACACACACAGAGAGACAGCACACACACACTCACTCACACTCACACACACAGAGAGACAGCACACACACACTCACTCACACTCACACACACAGAGAGACAGCACACACACACTCACTCACACTCACACACACAGAGAGACAGCACACACACACTCACTCACACTCACACACACAGAGAGACAGCACACACACACTCACTCACACTCACACACACAGAGAGACAGCACACACACACTCACTCACACTCACACACACAGAGAGACAGCACACACACACTCACTCACACTCACACACACAGAGAGACAGCACACACACACTCACTCACACTCACACACACAGAGAGACAGCACACACACACTCACTCACACTCACACACACAGAGAGACAGCACACACACACTCACTCACACTCACACACACAGAGAGACAGCACACACACACTCACTCACACTCACACACACAGAGAGACAGCACACACACACTCACTCACACTCACACACACAGAGAGACAGCACACACACACTCACTCACACTCACACACACAGAGAGACAGCACACACACACTCACTCACACTCACACACACAGAGAGACAGCACACACACACTCACTCACACTCACACACACAGAGAGACAGCACACACACACTCACTCACACTCACACACACAGAGAGACAGCACACACACACTCACTCACACTCACACACACAGAGAGACAGCACACACACACTCACTCACACTCACACACACAGAGAGACAGCACACACACACTCACTCACACTCACACACACAGAGAGACAGCACACACACACTCACTCACACTCACACACACAGAGAGACAGCACACACACACTCACTCACACTCACACACACAGAGAGACAGCACACACACACTCACTCACACTCACACACACAGAGAGACAGCACACACACACTCACTCACACTCACACACACAGAGAGACAGCACACACACACTCACTCACACTCACACACACAGAGAGACAGCACACACACACTCACTCACACTCACACACACAGAGAGACAGCACACACACACTCACTCACACTCACACACACACACACACAGACTTAAATCACGATCCAGTGAGCACACACACACACACACACACACACACAGACTGAAATCACGATCGAGTGCACACACAGGCACACACACACACACACACACATACACACACACACACACACCCATACTTAAATCACGATCCAGTGAGCACACACACACACACACAGAGACCGAGGAACACACATAGACTTAAATCACGATTGAGTGACACACACACAGACTGAAATCACGATCGAGTTACACACACACATACACTCACCCATACTTAAAATACGATCCAGTGAGCACACACACACACACAGACTGAAATCACGATCGAGTGCACACACATACACAGACTGAAATCACGATCGAGTGACACACACACATACACACACACAGACTTAAAATACGATCCAGTGAGCACACACACACACACACACACACACACAGACTTAAATCACGATCCAGTGAGCACACACACACACACACACACACACACAGACTTAAATCACGATCCAGTGAGCACACACAGAGACACACAGACACACACACACGAGCCTTAAATCACGATCCAGTGAGCACACACAGAGATACACAGACACACACACACATACACACACACACGAGACTTAA